GAATCTTCTTGGAGGTTAGGGAAAGGGGCGAGTGGTGACGAATGGAAGTTAGGTTGGTGCTGCGGTGTTTCCAACAAGCTGTGTAGAGATAATGTTGCCCACAGTTTTTTAAGTAATAAGTACTTGCCCCAATTGTTTAATGACTGTAAATTCAAATGTTGAAGTGAATATTTGTAATCAACTGTAACGTTATTTGCTCTTAAATTTGTAAAAGAAATATATTTTACAATCGGGAAAATATGGGTAAAAGCACATGGTTTTCATCTAAGCAATCTGGAAGTTGAATGTAAACATAAGTAAACGTTGGTATTTCTTTCATTGAAGCTTATAAAAGTACATGGACTTTGTTTTAATGAGCTATTTCACTTCTTTGACAGCTTGTACCTATCAACTTTGTTAAAATACCGGTCAACTTTGTCAAAATACCGGTCAACCTTGTGCAAATACCTGCCACATGTGTCAAATATCTATCAAATAGAAATAGAAGATACTTTGGAAGTCCTGAAAAGAACTACAGACAACGAACAAGAAAGGTGGCTATGTATTATCTACTACAACAATCTGCTGACCTTTCTTTCTGAAGTGAATACTACAAACGGGGAACTTGGCTTTGCAAAAACTGATTTCAACATGAAACATATATGAAAGACAAATACAACATGATTGTTGATGAAGTAACGTGCGCTGACTGAATGCGTAATGACGTTGTACAGTGTGAAATGATGGTCAAATCAATTGTAATCACAAACATGGACCTGTTTGGTTCCCGTCCACACCTACAGTCACAGGAAACCAGTTCAAAGAGGTTATCGAAAGGAGTGCGACCTTTGCAGGTGACTAACCTGACCTCAATATGAATAAAAGTACAATAGGACACACAGATAAGACACAAGTAGGCTTCAGGTAAGTTATGAAACATTTTGTCACATTATTGATGACAATGTTAAGTACTTGTCTGTATCGTCTGTACGTACACGTCACACAAGTACAGCTGTACAAATGCTTAGTTTAACATAACACACACACACACACACACACCAAAAAAAAAGAGAAAAAAAGAGATAAAAAAACAAAACAAAAAACAAACAAAACAAAACAAACAACACCAAATAAACAAAAAAAAACAATATAACAAACAAACCCAAAAATCCGAAAACAAAACAAAAAACAACAACAGAAAATCAAAACAAAAACAAAACAGAAGAGACCCATTATTTGCATGTCCATGTTTTATTGTGGGGAGAAACGTCAAACACACGTTGGACAACAACTGATACATTCCCGTTCTTTTTCAAGGACAAGTGTTTGTTGTATGCTTCATGCTCCCGGCGAAGAATGAACCCCTTATAAACTGGACCAAAACGGTTTTAGCAGATATATACTCAGCAGCAAAAAAACATCAGTACGAATTCAAAATAAGATAGGCACTGTAATCAAATCATTACAGAAATGGACATAATAAACGGATCAAAAACATTTTTTGTGTACAATATTTTGACACATCAATGAATAACTCAGCATAATTTCAAGACATTACATGAACGTTTGCAGTCCATTCAGACTCTTGACTTCAGTATCTAGTGTCACCCCCATGCCACGTGCGGCAATAACTGCAACACAGCGTCTATGCATGGAGTGCACCAATCGATTGATGAAGGCCATTGGCACATGGAACCACACTCTGACAAAAGGCCTGGCGCAATAAATCGGCGGAGTTCGTCCTTGGTATGACATTATTCAGTCTCCTCTGAATTTCGTCCCAAAGATGTTAAGTTGGGATTAAATCAGGACTAAGGGCTGGCCACTGCATAATGTTGACACCGTTCTGCTGTGGCAAGTCCCGTGTAGCTCTGACAGTATGGGCCCGGGCGTTATCATGCTGGAAAATGTTGTTCCGGTGACGTGCGAAATGTGGTATGACGTGGGGTCTGAGAGCTTGGTCGATGTAGCGCACCGCTGTGATGCCGCCTCCTCTCCCTGGAACAAGTTTCTAGAACACCACAGGACCCACTCCCTGGTTCAGGCCTATTCCACCCCATACCATGATGCTTGCACCTCCCCATCAGTCTCTTTCCATAACACATTGGTCTGAGTAACGTTGGCCACGTCGTCGCCATATTCTTGTTCTGCCATCTGCAGTTGATACGCAATACCGACTCTCATCTGTGAACAGAACAGTTCTCCATTGCCTGTATCGCCAGTTTTGGTGTTGTAGGTAAAACGGTAGACGTTCACGCTGATGACGAGGGGGTGAGGAAAGGTCCACGGTAAGGTCTACGACAATAGAGGTTCCCGCTGTTAAGACGTCGGCGTACTGTATCAGTACTGATTGGTCTTCCGTGTGTTCCCACTGTCTGGCGTGCTGTTTCGGATGCCCGCATGAAGGGATTCTGTACATGCTATCGCACAACATGGTGGTCTTGTCGTCTTGTGGTCACCCTTGGTCTGCCAGTACGGGGGCGATCATTTGTGGTGTTGGTGGCCCGGAAACGTTGCTGCAGCCTGTAGATGGTCCGAACGTTGACCTGGCAGTGATTGGCAACGGCTTGTGCAGTGTGGCAAGCTTCAAGTCTTCCTAGCGCCTGGTTCCTCTGAGTTGCCGTGAGTCGCGGCATCCTGCTGACGTTGAAATGTGAATGCTTCAACCAGGTTTGGGATGCATTTTATAGGGTTGGTCCATGTGAAGAGCACGGGCAGTACGAGTTGCATGAAAAACACGGAGAACACCGTACCATGTCTGTCTGTGTGTGTGTGTGTGTGTATAAAGAATACAAACAATATTTTTGGCTTCTGCTAACATCAGAAACATGAAGCTCATCGACCTGCAGATAATTGAAGCATCTGTTGTTGCAACTTGAAACAATTGCAGTGAATTTCTACGCGAGAATATTTTTGAATGCCGATGAACGTGTGGGTGATCAGATTTGCGCAGACATTTTGCCAACCTGACCACCGACTTCAGATGCTGACTGGGCATTCGTTGCTGGAGGGTTCCATGAGAGACCACTCTACACAATTTCATCCTACTAATACAGGTATGTCGACCAATGCACCCGTGTATGGACAACATGAATTTGCATGTTAGTATATGTTTGTTTTGTATAATATGATAATGCCTTTGGAATGTTGGAATCCGGTCTAGAAAGAAGAACATTCTGTATCGTATTAACTAGAAATAGCGAGGACTTATATCTCCTTGTATCTTTTGCATTATCGAAGAATTACTACTTGAAGTCTCATTATGTGCATTTGTTGAAATTGCCAAAGGCAGTGCAGAGTTGCATAAAGACATGTTTAATGGACACAGGTGGGTTCAAACAACATATGACCAATAATCAGTTTGAGCATCTGTCAAAATGTTTGATAGAATGACAAAGGATCACAGAAACTAAATCATTGTCAACCAACATAAGAGATACATGGTAACGTTACCACAGACTGGCCGATAGTGTTGTTTTAATGAAAACTATTCCCGAAATACATACCATAAACCCAAATTATATCTTTCCCTGATTAGCCCTTACTTTATGTTTCTTTTGGTTACATACTTGTCACAGCGGATGATGAACACCAGGTGGTCACGCTTGCTAACTTGGTTGATGCGTGTCATTTTATGTTTTAGAATGGTTGGTCAGATACTCGGTTTGTTAGAGACTCGTTGTACACAGTTGGAGAATTGCTGCGTAAAGCATTAAACAACCAGCGTGCAAACGAAAACAATTTCGTTAAACCACAGACATCATCTATTGCCTTAGTTTGCGTGTGTTAATATCTCCCAAAAATGTGCAGAAATGAAATGATCTGGAATATTAGACAAACCCGTGAAGGTCTGGGTTAGAATATTGGTCTTCAGTAACCCATGCTTGTCGTAAGAGGCGACTAACGTGATCGGGTAGTCAGGCTCGCTGACTTGGTTGACACATGTCATCGGTTCCCAATTGCGTACATCGATGCTCACGCTGTTGATCACTGGATTGTCTGGTCCAGACTCGATTATTTACAGACCGCCGCCATATAGATGGAATATTGCTGAGTGCGGCGTAAAACTAAACTCACTCACTCACTCACTCATTCAGTTACAGGACCTCTGAAAAGGTCAAAAACATCCAGTCTACAATGTGTTCCCGTCTTATGCTTCTCGGTGTTAGTATACATATCAAGTAGATTGATATACATTTCTTAGTAGAGTACTCAACATATTTTAACATATTGTTTAACACACTTTAGTACAACATGGCACGTATCTCAGAAGATCTGTTCACATATCGCGTCAGGTTACAAGGCAGAACATAGAAGATTAGTGAAGATAACGGTTACAAGGCAGAACATAGCAGATTAGTGAAGATAACGTAGTAGATTAATGCACATATTTTGGGTGGTGCTGCAGTTAGTCTGTTTCTTGGTGAAGGGTAACACACTATCAGTTACTTCATTATGCCCCATTATCAGATCCCAATGTTAGTCGCCTACAGCAATCTTGGAGCTCGGGAGTCCAAGTCAGTTTCCTGTGGCTTACAATGTAAATCGTGCATTTATTCCACACTTTACATAGCCTTGACAAAATGTTTGGTCACTGTGAAATACTGCTGCCAGAGAAGCTTGGTGAGTGCTTTATGTGGAACTCTGCCTTGAAAAGTATATCTGTGCAACTCAAAGAAACTAAAGAACTGAATCTTTTCATACTTCTATACTTTGTCTTTGGTGGCATGAAAAGTAATTTGATGATTGGGTGTTCTGTAATTTGTTGTAAGTATTATTTCTGAGCATGATGACAACAGTGAGGCTAGGACTAATGCAAAGTTGTCGATGAATGTTAGAGGACATTCTGTGAATTTGTGAATCAAATACATCAAACCGTGGCTGCATTTGTTGAACCCGTGAAGATCCGGGTTAAAATTGGTCCTCAGTAACCCGTGTTTTCGTAAGAGGCGACTAACGGGATCGGATGGTCAAGTTCGCTGACTTTGTTGACACACGTCATCGTATTCCAATTACGTAGGTCGATGCTCATGCTGTTGACCACTGGACTGTCTGGTCCTGACTCAATTATTTACAGACCGCCGCCATAAATCTGGAATATTCCTGGGTGCGGTGTTAACAAACCAACCATCTGCAGGTGTTACTCCGCTGCTATATAGGGCCAGGTGTGTGTGAGAAACGACATCTCGCAGATCCGAGACAGTGTGAAAATGATTGGAAACTCGTGGAGGTAAGAACAACACCTCAGATCTCTGTATATTACAAATAATAACATGGTTTCTATTATGTTTAATATAAATAGTTACATGATACGAACAGAGTGTGACCACTAATCTTTCTTCAAGACGTAGTCAAACAGTTTTACGTTATTTCAAAATCTGCCGTGAAGAGCGCTGTTTACAATAATTGAACTCTTGGCGTTTTTGCAGTTAAGAGATAAATCTACAGTTTTTGAGATTTGATGTACTCTATTGTAACTTCTATACCTCCTATTTATATACCTAATGTCCCCCATTAAATCACCCAGAATCAAATTAAACAAAAGAGGTCTTATAATCTACAAGTCTACAGTGGAAATACAACTTCAAAACACTCCACTCCACTCTACCATGAAGAGTTAAATTTAACGATGCAACACACATAGTTTTGTCAAAAAAGGTGTTCAATAATCCCAAAGATTTATCTTTAAAATTAATCGCAACCTTTCGCTGGCACATTTTCACTGTTTGGTCTCAGACGAGTCATTTCTTTGAAATCTGTTAGCGAACACTTTGTGTCATTTCGCATTTCAGCGATCCATCCAAAGCTTGCACTTTTTATGGTGGCTGATTAGGGCCATCGCTTTCTTGCCTTAAAATTCGGAGGCGAGAAAGCGATATCACGAGAGGAGAAAGCGAAAGCGATGGCCCTAATCAGCCACCATACATACTTTTTGACGAGACTGAGTATTCCCCAGCTGTCGCGTTTTATATCGCGGTAATGGTTTCCTTTTTCATGCCCTCGAAAAACATTGCTTTTATCATTATGTTGGCGGATAGAATTGTGTTGTCGTACGGCAGAGCGCTAGGCAATTAACAACAAACTTCATAATTCAACGTCTTTTGGCATTAAGCTGCAGAGAACTGAACCACCAACCTGCCCCTCCAATACATCCATCACATCACACTGAACCACCAACCTGCCCCTCCAATACATCCAGTATATCACTGAGACGGTCCTTATAACCTGAACCACCAACCTGCCTCAATACATCCAGTATATCACAGAGACGGTCCTTATAACAAATATCTGAACCACCAACCTGCCCCTCCAATTTATCCAGTATATCACAGAGACGGTCCTTATAACAAATATCTGAACCACCAACCTGCCCCTCCAATACATCAGTATATCACAGAGACGGTCCTTATAACAAATATCTGAACCACCAACCTGCCCCTCCAATATATCCAGTATATCACAGAGACGGTCCTTATAACAAATATCTGAACCACCAACCTGCCCCTCAAATTTATCCAGTATATCACAGAGACGGTCCTTATAACAAATATCTGAACCACCAACCTGCCCCTCCAAAATATCAGTATATCACAGAGACGGTCCTTATACCAAATATCTGAACCACCAACCTGTCCCTCCAATATATCCAATACAATACAGAGAGGTCATTATAACAAGTATATGAACCACAAACCAGCGCGTTATTGTTTACACATATGCAAAAAGATTCACTTGTAAGGAGAGAATGGTTGTTTGATAGCTATCCAAAATCAAAGAATATTTGTGAAACCGAATTAGAATGTTTTGTCTGTTCTATTCAGGATAGCTACGATCACAGCCCTGTGCATGTTATGCATGCTGCAAGGGGTGTTGTCCGACACGCCCCTCGTATTCACGGCGTCATGGCCAACCGGACACAACGGGAAGTTCTGTGTTCCCGTGAATAGGGAGCTGTACGACTGGCGGGTACACCTCGTGTTCAGTCAACCGGTGACGAAATTGATTGTGAGTACACCATGCATTCTCTCTCTCTCTCCCTCTCTCCTCTCTCTCTCTCTCTCTCTCTCTCTCTCTCTCTCTCTCTCTCTCTCTCTCTCTCCTCTCTCTCTCTCTCTCTCTCTCCTCTCTCTCCTCTCTCTCTCCCTCTCTCTCTTTCTCTCTCTCTCTCTCTCTCCCCTCTCTCTCTCTCTCTCTCTTCTCTCTCCATCTCTCTCTCTCTCTCGCTCCCATCGAAAAGGGAGGAAGGGGGGGGGGGGTCGGTCAGGCAGACAGACAGACAGAGGAGTTCCTGCACCAATTTCCACGTGTGACGTGGGATGTAACACATGTTACAGTTTCCTGAATAACCTTCTTATACGACACGATTATATGTCGGCTGTACGTCTACATAGATCAGATAACAGCAATGTTTACTACTTAGATTATTAATCGTAAGCAATGTGAGACATTCTGATTTGAGACACTCGTTTTTAAAACAGCCAAATAAGGCTTTCACACCTTATATATGGTTTCTATTTTATTAAATGTTCCCGTTCCAGTTGTTCGAAGCGGAGGTTGTTTCATCGCTAAACAACGGCAAGGAATACATCATCCATAACCAGATCTGGAATGGCGTCGAACATACGGGCGACCAGATATGTGAAGGGTTTGTCGCAAACACAGACTTCAGTGTTCACAGTCTATCTGGCCATGCATTCCTGGAAGGAAAAAGTGCTTCTAGCTAAACCTTGCCCCTCCGGCGTCTCGGGAACAAGACGTAAATTGTAATAAAAACGCAAATTATAATACTTGCAGCAAATTATAATAAACTTGACGTAAATTGTAATAAAATTGACGTATTGTAATAATTTTAGTTGCGGTAAAATGTAATAAATATTTACGTAAATTGTAATAACAGTTTTAATCACGCGTGTGTTTGTTTTTCGATGCATCTCATACATGATATAAGCTTGTTAGGGCGATAACTCAAGAAAGAAAAGATGGATTTTGTTCAAATTTGGTACCAAGGTATGTTGGCGAGATTCACCGACACCAGATAAATTGAGTGACCTTGAGATAATCTCCAAGGTCACACAAAAATCTGAGGGTTTTGCCGATATAAAGATTGTTAGCGCGATAACCCAAGAAAGAATTGATAAATCTTAGCTAAATGACGAAAATGATATTCGTCCTGATATATAATCGATATAAAATCTCTAACTGCCCTCTGTATTATGTCTTTTCGCAAATATCTGTTGATGTTTAGATATGTATACATATAAAGTGGGGGTGGGGGATGGTGGGTTTCTAACGGGTACATGTAACACACTTACATGCATGTAGAATCAACCTCACCTAGAATATGATACAAATGCATCTGTGTTTATGTTTTATTTTTCTACATATTATCTGTCAGCCTCAAGCAAATTGTTTTGCTATGTTCTAGCCCCACGATCCCCATTTTGTGTGACTTTGTATCTTGGCTTACTCCCCCAAAACAGAAAATCTGCAATATCCATCGCTAACTTCAGGAAACAAAATATGCAAGAAATATTTTGTATGTTTGAGATTGGTAGAAGTCCGCTAGAATCAAACTTAGATATTAAACTGCACAAAAACAAAACAATTTGAAACTACAATCGCTTGTTCAAGTGACTCCGTTTCTGTTTACTGGAAGAACTCGAGAAACAAATGATGGATTTTGTTCAAATTTGGTACGAAGGTTTATTGACGACATGTTCCGACACCAGTGGAATTTAGTGACCTTGAGGTCATTTTAAAGGTCTCAGTGAAGGTGTCACAGTTTTGCACATGCCAAGCTTGGTAGCCGCGAACTCAGGAAAGAATTAATAGATTCTGATCCAATTTAATATAAAGGTGTATTGGCGGGATTCCCCCTACACCGGTTGACACAAAATATGCAAGAAACATTTTGTATGTTGGTAAAAGTTCGCTTGAATCAAACTTAGATATTAAACTGCACAGAAAAAGCAATTTGAAGCTACAATCGCTTGATCAAGTGACTCCCCCTTCATGTTTACTGAAAGAGCTTGTTTTGAGACACTATCCACCTCTTTCAGTTGACGTCATCATAAGAACATAACCTATCCTAATGTTTTCACTTATTCATACATGATGTAAAGTGTTCAAACTAAATACTGAATGGTCACACAAGTGTCAGCTCTCAATATATTGTATATCTGGACACAATGTTTTTGAAAAATTATAATGAGGGTGTCTTAAAAAACAGTCACCGTCTAAACATAAATCAAACAATCCATATCTTTGAATGTTGGTGGTGACGGGAAGTCATCCAATACTATGCTGAACATAGTTTATGTGATATTATCTGAGGGCATACCATTATCCAAGAGATAGCGCAATAGTGCAGCGCTAAAGCGTCTGCCTATCACGCTGAAGGCCGGGGTTCGAGGATGCACCGAGGTTCGGGTCCCGAGATGGGCACATTTGCGTAGTAGTATCCTTGGACAAGACACTTAGATCCACATTGTCTCAGTTCACCCACCTGTAAAATTGGTACCCGTGAAGATGTGCTGGCAATGTGAGTGTTTAGTTCGTTGTGGCTAACATGCATCATGGCTGTATGGTCCCAAGGGAGTTGAAAAGTATCCGAAAGTACGATAGTGTCCTATGATCGGGGATAGTAATGTACGTAGCGCCGTGAGCAGGCAATGTGCCTGGATATGAGCGCCATATAAGCGGACTATTACTATTACTAGATACCAAATGGCAGATCGTTTTCCATTTTCTGCAAATTTGTAAGAAACATTATACCCCATCATGTTGTGATGACTAATGTCTCATTAACCACACACATTACCAACATGAAATTTTGGATATGACTTTGCTAATGATTCCTGCAAAATAAAAAAATGGAAACATTGGACATCCAGAATATAATTAGTCTGACTACTTTTTCAACGCCCCTTGTAACATACTTAAAAGAAAAGAGAACGCCTAAGGAAAAATGCATTTCGATCTCTGAATACTTCTTAGCTATTTAAATACAAAAAGCAAAGGAATAAAGTAAAAAATCTGAAAAATATAGCCAAGGAAAATTTTATATCTAATTTTGATAACTATTTATCACCTCAGTCTACTCAATCAGGTGGTTACTACTTCATCGGGACCCACTCCCCCTCTTGTCACTGATGATTCTGGGATACCTTCAGTTATTTCAGATTTGGATAACGCTCAAACATTAAATGAATATTTTGTATTTTGTATCGAAATTTACAAATATCACAATAATGTTGGCCGACGACTCATCAATCGGAAAACATGTAAAATCCATAGAAATCCAGAGAACTCTCAACTATGATTTAGCCCAACTAAATTAATGGGCAGAAAGGTGGTAAGTTAAGTTTAACCCTAATAAGACTAAATTTGTGCTTTTCAACCATAGACATTGGCCAGATTCCAGACTTGATCTTCAGTAAATGACCATTTGAGTGTGAACATCAATATAAACATCGTAGTGTTAACGTATCGTACAATGCAAAGTGGTCTCATCATGTAACTGATGTACTAAAAAAGGCCACTAAAATAGTTTCCTCATTACGGAAGGTAAAGTACGTCCTATCTAGAAATATTCTATCAAGCATGTATAAAATGTATGCTAGACCTATCTTAGAATATGCTTCTGATGTCTGGGATAATAAATTATTATCCCGCAGATATTTGTGATAAACTTTGAAAGGTTCAGCTTGAAACAGAAAACATTGTAACCGGTCTGCCAATATTCGCTTCAAGAGCTAGTTTGTACAGAAAAACTGGTTGGTTACCTTTATAGATTAGACTTACACATAAGAAACTTTGAACATTTTACAAAACTGTTAACATGCAAACTTCTGATTATCTTATAGACTTATTTCCACCATCTACTGAAACTATTTCTCAATAGAATTTGTCTTACAAACAAGTCTAAGCTAGCTATTCCAAAGATTCAAACCACAGTTTCTTCTTTTATATATGATTGTGCTTTTTATGGAATAATCATTCCTCGACAATAAAATGTACCAATTCATTTCCATTATTTAAATTTAAATTATCTGAAAAATTATAAAATTCCTAAAGAATTCCTGTTTGGTGAAAGGAAGATGAATATTCTACACATTGAGTTCAGACGTTCATGTAGTTCCTTAAATGCTGTTCTTTTTCGTGTCAATTTATCTGAAAGTAAAGCTTGCCATTGTATTGCTCATGTGGAAGATGCCAATCATTTCTCTCTAAAATGTCGAAAGTATGCCAGCTGCCAGTTCGATTTGAAACAAGGCTTTGAAATCCTAAAAGTTAGCTTAGATATAAACACCATTCTGTACAGCAGCCTTAGTCTCCCCTAATATATAAATGAAGATATGTTTAGTCAAGTACATAAATTCATTGTACGTAGTAAGCGTTTCAATTAATGTGTAATATGTCTTGCCTCGGTTCATTGTCAATTACATGTATTTTCCATGTTATTGTCGGAAGCGGGCTTTAATAATTTGAATAACTTGAGCCCAACCCCTTTCAATACTGAATGAAATACATGTATGTTTAAACAAACAAACTTAAATGCATGTAGAGGGGTGGGGTGGGGATGGGATGGGTGGTGTGTTCTAACGGTTATATCTAGCATACTTTAAGACATAGAGGGGTGGTGGTTCTAACGGTTATATCTAGCATACTTTAAAGATCACATATACCCTAGGGGGGTACAAATACATAAATCACTAACTGGCATCGTTATAAATGAAACCCCGTTATTAAAACTACTCATTTCGACCTTTAATTGACTTAAATCGAGATTTTTGACAACAGTGCACAATTCTCATCCGCGAACGAAATTTCAACCAATCAGAGCGGCGCGTCTCTGTGACGTCATATGAGGAATAAATATGAGGGCCCATGCAGAATTCATCTACATTTCAGGGGGTAAATTATCTTGTTTACAGGTTTGTATAAACCTGAAATCGTGACAATTGTTGTGGAAAATGAAAGCTATATGTTTTCACAATCTACTGTCATTTAATTTTGTCTCCTGCTTTGCCTAGTTTCCGAGTTACAACTTGTTTTCATAGACGATTCTGTCAAAATCGATTGGTGTCGTTAAGCCCTATTTGTATAATGACTGATCCAAATTGATCCCATTTCTGTGCTTTTTACCTCGATATTTAATCATGTCATGTAAAAATCTGTTTGTATTCTCAAAACAGTGTCGGCCCATAAGTTTTCACATGCAATACAGCACTTAATACTCCCTTGTTGTAACCCATGTTAGGTGGTATAAACCTACACATGTTATTTGTCATCATTCACTTGATGGTCAGTTAATGAATTTAAAACAGGTATAATTAGTGGTAACACACTTAGATTACCCGACAAAGGTTCCCATTTGGCATTTCTTGTGTCTGGAGTAAATATTCAACATGGCATCGATCAAAGGATTAACCGATAACACGCTGATTGATTAATTACTTTTATCTTACACAGCGGAATTGTCAAAAGGTAATGTTTATGTATGTAGATTTACTAATTTATACTGAATACACTCTGTCGTGTCGGTGTCTGCGTAAAAACAACGTCCTTCTTTCAAAGGATTAACCGCCAATACATTGATTGATTTCCCATTATTGGCTAACTAAATTACTGTTTTTAAAGAAAGGCGGACATTATGCCATTAGTTGCCAGGTGTGCTATCTTGGGTGACCAATGAGACTATACACCAATACCTGAAAAGATTTATCACTTTTTCGTATAATAAACTGTTAAAAGACACATCATTTGGAACAGTTTTGTGGATATTGATGGATACATTCCTCGAACAAGGTAATGGCCTGATATTGTTC